TCCCAGTAATATACAAAGGGGACTATAAAAGTTTTGCAATACGGCCTTATTTATTAACTTCGTTCAAAGTTCGAGCTAATTGTAGAAAGAAGAAAATGATAGTTGAAAGAAAAATGTAATTATGATAGGTTTCAGTGACGTCCGGGATGCCGAAACGAATGTAAAAAAGGTTTGTGCCAAAATGGCGGTAGATGGTGATGATTATAAGGTGTCTGTGTAGCCAACAAAAGGAAGCAGAATGAGGTTGGATGGTAAAAGATGCAACAACAATAACTCAGACAGTAGGATTTATATTAATGAAGATTTTCCGAGGGCAGTCAGCGATGTTTTTAAGTACGTCATGATTTGAAGATAGGAAGATTCAAGTATGTGTGGCGTAGAAATGGCCAAGTTTATGTGAGGAAAAGAAATGGTGGTGCGGTAGTGAAGATTGTTTCAAAGGCTGATGTGGATGCTTTAAAAGTGAAATAAGAATCATTTGTGTGCTAAACTTTATTCTTAATGTAAAAAGTAAACATTGATTGCGTTAAGTACATGAATATCTTTTCATGGAAGAATTATCTTTTTGCTTTATTAACGTAAGGTCGCTGACAAGTAATTTCTTTGAATTCAAACAGTTTATTTTAAAGAGAGAGTTTGATCTGGTTGGTGTGTGTGAGACGTGGTTGCTTGATGATATTTCGAATTCTAATATTCATATTAATGGTTACAGATTTATGTAGCTAAATACCTGTATATAAAATATCTTACACATTTTTCGTCGCATTTTCATTACCTAAATTTCCTGCAATCACTGGGACCAGAAGCTTCTTAATAATAGAACGTGTTTCACTGATATCAAAGATGCAACATTTAAAATCACCTTCCCCCAACCCCCACTTTTTAAGCAGTACAATTTTTTTATGTTTCAGCAATTGTTACTTTTTCTTTTTTGCCTATAGCACCCTTGCCATTGGACTAAAACTACAAAGCTTTGGCATACTAGTAGGCCCATGTGGAAATTTCATAAAAATAAAAGTTGATGATGGATATAGTTTTTCGTGATGTAGATGTGTCATATGACTTAAAAAAAAACATAACATCTCATTTTAGAAATCTTTTGCGATTACAATACTTCCGCGCCACTGGCGTGGGAAGTAAAACGGCTTTAAATCGAAGAGTATCAGCGATCGCGATTATGAATACCTATTTGCAGAACGACTTATCTATGCGATATTATATGAAATAGGGTCACCAAATTATCTGAATACGTCCTTTCTTAATCTGTAGATTGCGCCGCAACGCTAGAGTTGGCAGCACGAAACAGTTCGACAAAATTCGTCCAAAATACGATTTGTAGAGGTTTGCGTGCTACGAAATCGACGCCTTTTTTTGATATTTTTGAAAGAAATTTTCATGGTGTGCTGAAAACAAAACCCCACAGGGTGCTATTGAGCCACTTTTTCGTTTTTTTCACTAGATTCTTTTTAAGAAAATCGCGAAGTTAAACAGAAAAAGTGAGCACTTCAACAAATCATAAAACTTGTCCAAAAACAAAATTTCAAAAAATGCTCACATAGTACCCTGGGAAATTATCTTCTGAACATACTGTATGGATTTCATTAAAAAATATTGAAAAATGGAGTGTCAGTTTCGAAGCAGCTGAACCCTTGTAAATGGATTGAATCTCACTGCGTCGGAGCCGCCTTAAGTCCACGAAAGTGTCAGCTATCAAAAAAAAAAATAAGAAATTTCTTTTGGAGCAACAATAGTTGAGTCTTTCCTGTGTTGTCCTTCTCATCTGGTATGAATTTTAACGTGAAGTTTGATTACAGACACACATTGTGTTTTAATTTTTTTCGAGAGTCTTCTTCTTTGAATTGATTAAAATTGTATTATCCGTAGTCAGCTATGAAATTGTGCTGTCTGTTTTGTTTTGTCACTGGGCCAGTAGTAGCCCTAGACTGTTTGCTGGTCCAGCTTGCAGTAAGTGTAATTGGTTGTTTTTCCCCTATTTTGTATTCTATGTAAGCTTTTTAACTGCAAATAAACGCTATTACTATTATTGCCTCTCCATCCGCCAAACCGCTTGAACCAGCTCTGCCAAGTTTCACCCGGGGCTGCGGCACACTCATTATCCCAAGCTCTCAGAAGGTCCTCATCGCTAGAAAACCGTTTTTCTTTTATCTTCACTTTCATATGTAAAAACAGTGCAAATAAGCAGGGAGCAAGATCTGGACTGTAACGAGGGTGCTCAATAAGTTTCATTCGAGTAGTGGTCAAATACTCTGTGCAGGCTTTGGCGTGGTGAGCGGGAGCGTTGTCAAGGTTGAGGCACCAAGTGTCCATTCTTGACTTTGGCCGCAGGTTTTTCATAGGCTCTATGAATCTAGGCAGGCACTGTTCCGTGTACTACTTAGCAGTGACTGTCTTCTATGTGTCCAAAACGAACCTCCACAATCCCGCTCGATTTGAAAAATACAGCTATCATTTTTTTCTTAACAGATCAGGATTTTCTGATAGCTACGGGTGTGTCTTTATCATCAGATACCCAAACTTTGTTTTGAGCCTTGATCGGCACATCGTAGTAATAGAGCCAAGTCTCGTCACCATCACCTGTCACCCTTATCAAACATTTTCAGCATCTTTCGGAACCAAGTCGTACAACGAGTCTTCTGCTCATCCGTAAGACTATGCGGTACCCAAGAAAGAACAAATTTTCCTTCCTCCTGGTGCATGAAGGTGTAAGGTCTCCTCTATCTGATGGTATGTCGCTCTCCAGTCTTTGTTAAGCATTTTCCTCTTAGCAGTAATGTTTTCCTCTGTTACTGACGTTCGCGGAATTCCTTCCCTCTCAGCATCCTCCATAGTGAAATTGCCCCCTTGGAATTCTCTGTACCACCTCAATTTAGTCGTACGATGAGGACAATCATTCTTTGATGCAAGCGTCATTTCTTCTAAACACTGGTTTATGCTTAAACCACGCGTAAGGTTATACCGAAAAACTGCTTTTATCTTACTATGTGGCCACGATGCCACAAGCCGCACTTCACACCGTCAATACGAATGAGCAACTAAATCAACAAACGTGCTGCTGCTAACGGCTACTATGCACTCATGGACATGTCTCAACATGCAGTAACATGCAGCCTCCTGCGTCCATTTGTTAAGTCATATTGCAAAACTTTTATAGTACCCTTTGTACAAAGTAATGACTGCCACACTAACCTACCAAATTGATAACCAGCCCAATCTGCGGCACATAATGGCCGTGCAACAGTGCGGGTATAAAAGAAAAGGTCAAGGTCGCAAATAAGCACTTTTGTTTGATAGGCTTGTCACGCATACGACTAAGACTAAAGGCCGAAACTCGTGGCTTCTAGAAATCTTGAAAATATATAAAGTAGATAGAAACAATAACTTTTTGGCCCACTTTATGGTAAGTCTGATGAATAAAATTTCCTTAGTCTTCTCTTACTGCCTCGATATAATATTCTAACTGTTAAAATAAGCCAGCATAAACTTCGATTCTGGCAATAGATGGGCACCTTATACTGTCTTGTTCCGATAGACCTTATACCTCAGAAAGAGGTTAGTTGCTATATTTACGTTCGTTGTCCTGACCTCAGGCCAAGCCTAGACGATGCTCATATGTTGGCCAACAGGCACAAAACATCTGTCCGTGGTTAACTGTCTGGGGTCGGACGGATAAAACCAGTATGTTTAGATGATAGCTATCTACTTCGTTTTTTAATTCCAGAGAAAAACATCGATGACTTTGTTTCAATCAAATGAAAAGCAAGTCCTTATTCAAATTTGGTGACAGTTATCAGTAGTACATCTATAGGCGTTCCCGACCACCTAAAATAGCATGTGAAATTGTAACGTAAAACTTATAGGCGTTCCCGACCACTACACGTTCTGGACCAAAGTACGTTCTAGACCAGTCACTCTAGACCAAATTACAAAAAAAAACCGTCGTTTTTCAACGCCTTTTTGCCACCATCCCCCTTAGTCGCGCGCGCGCGTGCGCATGCGCATGGGGCTCGTTCTGGCGAGCGTACTACTGGGGGGGTAGGTGAGGGGGTGTAGATAGCAGAGAATAAACGATACGCTGTAAGGAGTTTATCTATCTTTATTTGTTTTTCTCACAGTTACACGTTGTTTTGAATTTAATTGTTTTATATAATAATTCCCCTTTGTCATTATAATGTACTTGTATAGTTATGTTTTTTGTTGGTTGGTTTGGTAGGGCTGACGCTTTTTCCCTTTTATTGCAATGGCAACTTTGTTTTTGTTGTATGTTTTTGGTGGTGGTGGTGGGGGTGGTGGATGGTCCGGGTGCCGTTGATGCAGGTGCCTCCGGAGATGGAGTAGATTCTATTGATTCGGAGCAAATCAGAGAGTTGTCTTCTTCTTCTTCTTCTGAAAGTATGTGATAATTGATGGACTCTGGACAAAAGCAGAAGTGTTTTTGACATTTTAGGCAGTATGCTGTACCGTACTGTGACATTATAACAAATAATGAAAATAATCAAGCTACAACTATATATATATATAATTTGAATAGTGAGTATCGTTTGGTTTGTTTTTTTTTTTTTAGAAGGAAGAGATACATAGTGATAAATTCTTCAATTGAAAACTACTGGGCTATATTTTTCTGAAGAATATATAGGAAAACAAGCCTATGCATAAGCCATCTGACTCATCTCACGTTTTGTGGTAAATTATTGCATCTATAATTACTATTACTCATCGGTTTTTTACCAATCTATATGCAATAATTTACCATAAAACGTGAGATGTGTCAGATGGCTTATGCATAGACTTGTTTTCCTATTTATTCTTCAGAAAATATGACCCGCTAGTTTTCAGTTGAAGAATTTATTACTATGCATCTCTTCCTTCTAATAAAAAACAAACCAAACGATACTCACGTTTTGTGGTAAATTATTGCATATAGATTGGTAAAACCCGATGAATAATAGTAATTATAGATGCATTATGAAATTCGCAGAACAATGCATCTATGATGATCTCAATAGTCAACACGTCATTTTCAGTGCGCATATAAAATGGAATTGCTCAAATGCGGTGCATACAGTTAATGATTAGCAATAGATGCAGTTGCAGCTTATTTACATACAGGCTTGTAAAGTGCATGTGAAGTGATTGGAAATAATTTCTGGTAAGTTTTAGTTTTTAACATTGATACAATATTGAAAACAGTACAGTCTGTATTGTGTATCTAATAAATTCCAACAATGCTAGTATTTTAATTTTGTTTTGATTTATTCATGTGACATGTTTCAGTTTTGAGCTTTCGTATTTATATATAGTAAAATACTTTTTGATGTATTGAAAGAGCAAATAGTTAGATGAATGCTAATATATTGATTTTATGTTAACTTCTTGGTAACTTCTATTATTCACAATTTTTTATTTATTTTAGATAAACATGGACTTAAGCAAGATAAATGAAATTGCAGCTACGAGCTACACGAGTAAGCCGAAAAAGAGCCTGTACGAGCTACCGCTTAACCAATACCAGACTGTACTTTCAATAAGAATCGTACAAGGACGTTTTGGACAGGTGCCGTTGGTGGAGCTACAAAATTTTGTAGTGTTTCTACCAGGGAGAGCGACGGAAGTGATCATCGAAAACTTAGAAAATTTCACTCCGGGACGTTACGCAATTGCGTATACAGGCAGCGTGCCCAGCTCTTTCGGGGATAATCAAGTTCACCATTTTAAGCTTAAGGACCTACACGAATAAGTAAGAACACTTGTATTATAGGCTAATATTGTTATTCTCAAGGTAAAGTAATATTGATTTGTTTTACATGAAATTCAATGGACCTTTCAGAACCATTCAGTGAATCAGTCAAAAATACTGTTAAGATTTTTAAAAAAGCTTATGAAACTCATACTGAAAAAAAAAATGCTTCTGAATCAGATAAAAAACGCTGGATAAAACTGATTAATGAAAATTTAATAATTTTTCACAAAGCTCTTAAAAATAAATATATTAGTGTTAATACACGAAAAGCTGTTCATACTGGTGTGGTACACTTGAAAAGATATAAATTTTTTCAGAGTCCTTTCATGTAGGTCGTGGTACATTTAGTACGCCAAAAAGGGTTGTATGGGAAGATACTGAGTCAACCTTTGTTAGTCGAATTCATACTGGTGTTATTATAAATTTAAAACATGTTGATATACATGATTTTTTCCTTGATGCGTTCAATCTATTCGAGCATCAAATACAAAATAAATTGTCCGTAATGTCCATTTTGAAAGTAAATGGGACCTTTTGTGGTGAATTTATTAAGTCTTCGAATGGTACAGATATCAATGATTTTAAATATTTCAATACCAGAAATGCTATCATTGATCAAAGTACAAATTTACAACAATGGTACAAAGATAACATTGTTGATAAAATTTTGAACAAGCTATCAGAATTTCAAGAAAGATTGAGTGGCTGGTCGTTATTAAAGATTATCTCTTTAGAAATTAATATAAATAAAGTGGAATTTGGTAACGTAAGTTCATCATACGTGAAATTACCTACTCAAATTGCTCGGAAAAAGGCGTGTATCAATATAAAAAATCATAATGATAATGCATGCTTTGCCTGGTCTATAATAAGTGCCCTTTATCCTGCTAAAAGTCATACGGATAGAACCTCGTCCTATCCTCGTTATACGGAAGTTCTTAACTTAGAAGGGTTGGAAATGCCCGTTCGCTTAATAGATATAAGTAAGTTCGAGGAAATGAATAAAATTTCTGTTAATGTTTTTGGAGCTGAGTTGATTGTACAGGAGAGTAAATCTTTTTATAACATTGTACCATTAAGACTCACTCAAAAAAAACTGTTAAAACATGTCAACCTGTTAATGATACAGAACAAATATTATCCCAAATTAAATGATTTCGAACCGTTACCATTGGAAAATGATGATTTTAGCACAGATGATGATGATTTTGAAATTACTTATCATTACGTGTATATTAAAAATCTTGCTCGTTTAGTAAGCTATCAATTAAGTAAGGCTCACAGTAAGAAATGGATTTGTGATAGATGTCTTCAATACTTCCATACAGAGAAGCAGCTACATGAACATGAAATCCACTGTCAAAAATTGAACGATTACAAAATATCATTTCCTAAAGACACTATCCTAAAATTTAAGAACTTCCGATATGCGGAGAAAGTACCTTTTATAATTTACGCTGACTTTGAATCAATGTTACTACCATTCAGTGAAACTAACAAAAAATCAACATTGTCGCATATGATCAAGTATCAAAAACATGAAGCATTCAGCGCCGGTTATTATTTCAAGTGCAGTTACGATGATTCATTATCATTTTATAAATCCTATCGCGGTATAGATTGTATACAGTGGTTTTCAAAAGAAATGGAGGAAATGTCAAAGTTTGTTCAGTCAAAACTTCAATTTGTTGTTCCAATGAATACATACGTTGATTTTAAAAATGTTAGTTCGCATTGTCATATATGTAAGAAACCATTCAAAGCTGACTCTAAAATTGTAAGGGACCACTGTCATCTGAGTGGTGATTTTCGGGGATTTGCTCATTCTAAATGTAATTTAAATTATAAAAACTCATTCATAGTTCCAGTTGTGCTTCATAATTTGAGCCGTTATGATTCTCATTTTATAATTAAGGACATTGCAAAATCTAATCGAGTTGTTTTGCTTCCATTAAATAAGCAAAAATATATTTCATTCACTATCCGAAACAATGTATCCGATATTGCGTTCCGTTTCATAGATTCCTTTAGATTTTTGGCTGCATCTTTGGATAAACTTGTTAATTTGTTAGATATCGGAGCTTTACACATATTAAAAAAAGAGTTTGGACACTTGAACGATGAAAAGTTTGAGTTGCTAACAAAAAAAGGTGTATTTCCATACGATTATGTTGACTCATGGCAAAAGTTGAATGAAACAGAACTACCTATACATGAACTATTTTACAATAGACTAAATGACACAAACGTTAGCAATAACGAGTACCAACGTGCTAAAGATGTGTGGACCAATTTCGAAATTCAGAACATCGGACAATATAGTGATCTTTATTTGAAAACAGACATTATCTTATTAGCAGACGTTTTTGAAAATTTTAGACAAACTGCTCATAGGACGCACGGTTTAGATCCTGCATGGTATTATACCCTACCAGGTTATACATTTGATTGTATGCTACGCTATACCGGATGTAAGATTGAAATTTTAAAAAATGTTGATATGCTATTATTTGTAGAACGTGGCATACGCGGAGGAATCTCTCAATGTTGTAATAGGTATTCAAAGGCTAATAACAAATATCTACCGGATTATGATAGCTCTGCACCATCAACGTTTATCATTTATTTGGATGTTAATGCATTATACGCATTTGCTATGACTCAGTATCTTCCTTATGCAGGGTTTGCTTGGATGGAAAATGTTGATACGTTGAATGTACATGATATTGCAGATGATGCAGATATTGGTTACATACTCGAAGTAGACCTTGAGTATCCAAAGTATTTGCACGATGAACATAAAGATTTTCCGCTATGTCCAGAGCATCGAGTACCACCAGGTTCAAAATTATCAAAATTAATGACAACTCTCTACGATAAAACAAATTACATAATTCATTATAGAAATTTAAAACAAGCTTTAGCACATGGCTTAGTTTTGAAAAAGTACACCGCATTTTGCAATTTAAGCAAGCTGCTTGGATGAAACCTTACGTAGAGATGAATACAAAATTACGTATGCTAGCTACAAATGATTTTGACAAAACCTTGTATAAAGACCTTGTCAACTCCTGTTTTGGAAAATGTATGGAAAATGTTCGAAAGCATCGTCTAGTCCGTATCACTAACAAATGGGAAGGTCGGTATGGTGCAAGGAAACTAATAGCCAGCCCCAATTTTCATAGCAGAGTAGTCTTTGATGATAATCTCGTAGCGATTGAAATGAAAAAAACCGAACTTCTCTTCAACAAGCCCCTATATATTGGAATGACGATTTTGGACATTTCCAAAGTATGCTTATATGACTTTCACTATAATTACATGTTGAAAAAATTCCCATTAAATACGTGTAAGACCCTGTATATGGACACAGACTCGATGACGTATGAGGTAAAATGTGCAGATTTTTATTTAGACGTAATCAAACAAGATTGTTTTCAATATTTTGATACCAGCGATTATCCAACAGATAATGTGTATAACATACCGTTGGTTAATAAAAAGGTTCCGGGAATTATGAAGGATGAATATAAAGGTATACCGTTAACCGAATTCGTTGGTCTCAGATCAAAAATGTACTCTATAAAACGATTAACAACGCCTAAGGAAATAGAAGATATGCGGTTGAGTCTGCTTGAAAGTGGTTGTACTGGAGATACTGCGGAAATTATCATGTCAAATATAGGTGTTACTAAGAAAATCAAAGGAGTCAAAAAATCTGTAGTTGATGCGAAAATAACATTTGATTGTTACTTGAACTGTTTGAAAAATTTAGAAGTGCAGTCATTTAATCAGAATTTAATCAGATCTGAGAATCATAATATTTTTTCAATTACGCAGTTGAAAAAAGCTCTCAGTCCATACGATGATAAACGTTATTTAATCAAAAACAGTCATGATACTTTACCTTGGGGACATTATAGCATAGCATCAAACGAAGAAATGTAACATGTACAATTTTATTTTAGGTATGATAAGTCTTAGAGAATTATCACTTAAAAAAGTTGCAGAATGTGTAAAATCAATCGTTACTTTTACTAATGTGTCACCATTACCATGGACACTAACTGTGGAAGTTATCAAGTGTTATGCGAATTTTAAATGGACAAAAATATTGCTTGAAGCACACGATAATCCTTTAACAGATATTTTAATTATACAAGCAGTGGAGCATACAAGGGAAATACCTAGTGAAACCCATAGGAAGGCACTTTTATGTCAAGCAAATTTTGAAGACATATATATTTTTCCAAAGTATTGTGTTTGGGTTAACATTTGTTACATTCCAGAATATAATTTAAGATTATGTTGGGGTTGCTGTAACGCATTTATGGTAGTAATGGGCCACTGGAATAAAAAAAGACCTACTGTTCTTCGAGACCATTATCGTATAACACTACTGGTTCAAGAAATTCATCGCTTATACAGATCTACAAATATGTACTGTCAAAATGACTTTTTGGAACTATTGTTTGGTTTGAAAGACGAATATACTTGTGTAAATGACCTACATAACATCGATCATTATAATAATAATCACCCATATGTTACGAGATTTGTAGATTCTGGTAACGATGATTCCGACATTGACTTTTAAGAATGTATGTAAATGTGCTTGCATATACTGCTAAACATTGACTGTATCATAAAATATATGTAACGAAAATAAAAATACGTTTTGCAATATGTCTGTATGTTTCCTTACCCCTTCCTATAATAAAAACAAATAAAATTTTCTTACAAAACCGTTTATTTAATCAAAGCTGCTTCATACACAGATAATTTACTAGCTAAATCACTTAAGAGCTTATTTTTATAGTACAGTAAGCATTCTCGTACACAATAACTTTCTATGTTATCATTACATACGTCACAAAAGGATCTTATTACAAGTTCATAATTTCTTTCCTGAGTTTGTAGTACTACGTTACAAACAATCTCTAAAAAGTTTTGATAAAATTGTTGGAAGTTCATTTTATATAAAGCACCTACTTTATATTTGATAATATTTTCATCAATATGGAGTATATCATTTATCACATTATGTGATAGATAAAAGCAGGCCCTACTTGTGTAAACTTTTAAAATTTTACAATCTAAAGTTGACGTTTTGCATATTTTCACATCTTCATCACATTCAATATGTTTAATGTCCTCTTCTTTGGATGTTGTAATGCATGGTACTTCATTGTCCGATAAATAACTGATGTCCAGACATCGTAAGCTGAAAATAAAAAGTTCCCATTCGTCAGCACTGAATGTGATTTGAGTTCCTATTTCTGATTTTTTCATCAATTTTACTGATGGTTCGAAAGACCTTGCAATACTCAAGCCACAATGGATACTTAACGGACTACAATCAGCAGTTACATAATCTGTACCCAATAAGTAAGGTGTTTTTTCTTGAAGAATTTGGTGTTTGCACTCCTTGTTTATATTTCTATTTCAGTCCAATAGTACGAATCAATATCCTTGCAGTAATTCTCAATTTCTGATTGATAGTTTTCACTATCTGATTCTTCATCTTCTATGTCTTTACGGCAGAACATCTTTCTGAATATTGACGGGAAGAGCAAATGATAACACTACTATATATCAATCTATCTCCCCACCACAATTTTTAAATATTATAAACGATTAGATGAGTTTATCCAACTGTTATGAGAACTATCAAAGCCAAGCCATTTCACGTAAACTTTATTATTTTTCTTTCTTAATACCTTCTCAACGAAATAAACATCTGGATGGATGTTTTTTGTAATTCCTCATTGTAAAATCCCCCCGAAATCGGATTTCCACGTAAATCTTCCAGCAAATACGTTGTAGGATTAGTTATTTGAACTTTTGATATTTTAAATACCTCAGTTGTCCAATTCGGCAAATATCCTTTATTAAACAAATGCTTTTCTTTGGAGATTCTAACCAAGTTTCCAACTTTCAATTTTCTATTTCCAGCCATTTTGATATGACTGTACACATTATTCAAAATATCATTTTCATTAGTTTTATTAACTTCAGATGGCCTTAAACCAATTGTACGATGCTTATGATTATTATACATATCAACTAAGTCAAATAAAATATCATACCATCGATATGATCCATTAAGAGTAAAATGCTTAAATATTTTTTCTTTCAAAGTTCGTATTAATCGTTCTGCAATGGCTGCCTTTTTTGTACTGAAGGTGCTGTAATGGTTTATATTATATTTTTTTAAAATAAAACTAAAATGTTTGTTATAGTATTCTTTTCCATGATCACTTTGTATATTTTTAGGTACTCTATTTCCGTTGTTTTTGAGAATATCTTCAAATGCTTTACTTACTTCTTCTCCAGTTTTATTCTTAAGTGGTCTAGCCCATACAAGTTTAGAAAAACAATCAATTACTATTAGAATATAACGATATCCTTGATTTTGTTTTGCATAAGGTTGCATCTCAATGAGATCTGTTTGCCATAAATCATCTAACCCTCGTATTATTGCTCTTCGTGTTCTGAACTTTTTTCGAATAGGCGTGTGTAGTTCGTTCGCAAGCTGAATTTTTTCTGTAGAATGAGTAGCTTTCATGGTGACTATTAGTTAATTACTTTAATTATTCGATACAAATGCGGTCTTATACTACGCTATTTGATTGTTGATTATATTTTTTTTCTATTATGTCGTATTTAGTTTTCAATTTAGTAAGTTTTCCTTGAATTTCTGAAATTTGTGTAGAAACTTCAGTAAACTTCTTATCTATGTATGCTGATGTGTCTATGTGATAGTTCAACAGTTTCTGTAGATTTGATTCTATATCTGTCACTTTTTTATTTAAATTGACTGAGGTTTCGTGAACATTCTTTTGATAACCTTCCAGTTTTATTAATTCTTGTGAAATGGCTTCACTTAGCTCTAAGCGAAGTTTATTTAAAGTAGTTACCTGATTATCAATATATTTTTTATTAGTTGCATCTCCAATGTCAGTGGGGTCTTTAACGTTACATAATTTCAAGTTTTCAACATCTATATTACCATCACTAGTCATAAGCAAACCATGTCGCGTAGATTGAAAAGACTGTTGTAGAGGGCGCCTTTCTGGTGCAGCTACACGTCCAAACTTGTCAACGGTCATATCGGTTATGTTCAAGATTCATATACAACATATGTATTTACTTCTTATTTAACTATAACTCCTGCTTCTTGAAGCTCTTCAATGATAGACAGTATTTCATTGTTTACTGAATTATTGCCAGCGTTTTGTGCAGCTATAAGTAATCTCAACCTATCAACTAACTCATTCAAATTATCCCAGTACACATACTCTACTTTTTTATTATTATAAGTCATATTTCTTGGTAAACCAAGTCCTGAAACACTTGTGGTAGCATCTAATCGTTGTTTATAGAACATAGGTCTGATAATTTCTTTGTATTTGTACATGTTGGATCCTTTAAGACGTCCTGATGCAGTTTTATGTACTTCGCTTAATGCCAGCATATGTTTATACATAGCACGGTCCTCATCGTTATATGATGGATCCTTATAGAAAATTAGTTGATATAAACCTGGTGTACCCGGAAATTGATTACCATCAATTATAATGTGCCCAGTGCGTTGATTGAAATCAATGCGTTTCTTACCTAATAACCAAGATGAGTTCGATGCATCATACACAGGACCATAATTTTTATCAATCTTTTGGTCATCTAACCAATGTTCAGTTACATATTTTTGGGCTATCTCTGGATACTGATCAATGTATTCATTAATTACTTCATCTCTTACACCTTGTATCTGTGAATGGTCAATGGAATCATTAGACTGATTCACAAATACATCATCATAATCATTAACATGTTCGTTTTCAGAACCTTTGATATAGGTACTTGCAATATCTTCTTCTGGAATAAATGGTGGTGGAGGCATGGGTATTTTTTCTTCTTTGTCTAATTTTTTAAGTTGCTTCTTAAGTTTTATATTATCAGCACCTGTTAAGTCATTTTCGTTGGTTAAGAGTCTCAGTGGTTCAACAATCGGCTTAAATACACGTTCCAATACCGTATCTTCTTCACTTCTACCCAGTTTCAATGCTAAATACTTTTTTCTTATTGCCCGTGCAAGTTGTATAATTTTTCTTTTACGTAGCTCTTCTTGATCTATATGTTTAGGAGGCATGTTCAGAAATGGTTGATTTCTGGTAGCATTACAAACTTATATACATATCAAATCCTTTACGATACCGTCCTTTATTAATATCAAAATCTTTCACAATTACCATACTACCATATTGATCTTTCCAACACTCTGCACACAGATTTTTAAATTTATCAAAGTCCATGTCAACTGTAACATGTTCATTATACACATGTCTCAAATTTACATCGTCCTGTTTGAACAAAATGACCATGTTACAGTTATCTCTTATCAACTGCTTGGGAATCTTCGAGTATGTTTGACATAAGTAAAAACAATCAATATTTTTATGTCGTCCCATGGAAAAATAATCTCTGAACTTATCCTGTTTCGTAGTTGCAACGTCATCAAATACAAAAATTGAATGTTCATTAGCGCACGATGGATCAACTATTTCTGTTTCATTGTCACTAAATGGAAAATATTGTATGCCTTTAACTTTCTCAAGAACACTTCTAAGTAGCTGATATTTTGGTTGATATAAGGATTTGGAGTAAATGTATACATTTTTGAATTTCAAACCGTTTGGATGAAATAAAAGTGATAATACAGCATTGGTCTTTCCAGAACCACTTCCCCCGCAAACTGCGCAACGAATATTATTAGGTAGCAACTTACTGTGTTTGAATTTTAAGGGTACAGGTGTAACGGTGCAATAATCTAAATTTTGTGTGGGTAATAAGATTTGTTGTTTAACGAGACGCATCTTGTCAATGAGTGAACGGTTGTAGACGGATATATATATATATATAGTAGAGATCACTAAACATTAACCTTATTAATTGGTTTGATCTCACACCATCAACACCTATAAAACGTTATAGAGCAGTCTCAACAAATTGTTATCTAACCTACAGTGAAAGCAATGAAGGTTAAACGTAACGTAGGTATGGATTCGGGCGCAACTAAGAAAAATGGAATAAAAAAACTCAAGTCCATTTCCTTTTACCGAGATATATTGAAAAAATAAAGCTACCTCATAGTGACAATGAAGCGGATTTGAATAAATCTGCACTGACTGCGTTACGCGCAGCCCGCGTAGCTATTAAACGTGCCGGTGGGCGACGAAAAGTAAATATTCCTAGAATTATACCGATACCAAAGACAGGTGGCATTTTACCAATTCTACCTATACTGGGAGCATTAGGGGCATTGGGTTCACTTACAGGTGGAGCGGCTGCGGTTGCAAAAACTGCTATCGACGTTAAGAACGCCAAAAAACAATTGGCAGAAGCAGAGCGACATAACAGAACAATCGAAGCTATTGCACTAGGTAAACGAGGATCTGGCTTGTATCTACATAAAAATAAGCATGGTGGTATGGGTTTATTCCTGGAAAAACAATCATCTGGAAGTGGTTTATACGTCAAAAAACAGAAATCAAAAAACTACCAGTAAAGCTACCCAATAGAGCGCTTTCCGATTATGATATTTTGAGATACGCGAAACTGCTCAACATAAAACATTTTAAAAATGTATATATGAGGGATACCCTACCGAGCACGAAACCAAAAAATAAC